ATACACACAGACAGACATCCACTTTACCTGTAAAGTAGATGACATTTAAAGCATCCTAAATGAATTTAATCAGTTGCCTTTTATTTTGTGAGGACTCCAGTTTAGTTTTGCACATTCTTTATTTTTTTATTGTTGTTTTTGTGAAGAATCACTTCTTGTGTCAAATGTTGTTGCTTTAGCAGTAGCACATCCCTGCAGGTGGGAGGCAACTTTGTAGCACACATTTGACCACATCCTGCCCCATATACTAAACTGACAAAAAAAAGAGCCGTACGTCAAACTTTTCTATGTCATTTCAAATTAATTTACATCTTAAAGGATGACTGATCATGTTTCTAAAAAAAAAAAAACCTGATGTGCATTGCATCATTTTTCTGCACTGTCTTCATAGCTGTGTTATCCCCTGTTGTATCTTAAGAAGATAACATGGATTATTTGATTTCTTACAAAAGCGTTAATACATGCGATGAGTTTTACAAAAATGTGAAATCATTTTGATTTGAAAATCTCAGGAATCAAAGCATAGCACACTGAAATAGACGCCAGTTCCTATTATTGTTTGTGAAAAATACCAAGTGACCAATGCTGGACAGAGTGTGTATGCATATGTATCTATTCCTCTCTCCCTGTGGGCGGTTGCCTGCTGCGCTGCTTTTCTGTCACCCTGTGGTTTGGTTATTTTCAGCTCGAAACCGGATGTGATTCAGACTGCATGCTAGATTGTGTAATTGAATGGACTAACCACATACACACACACACACACACACTTTTTGAACGCGCACAATCGCATAAACGATGCAAACACAAACACACAGGACACAACCCTCTCTCACACACACCGTTATATCGTTAGATACACCCACACACTGAGGGTTTCTGGGAACAGTGCTGGGTTCCCCCCGTTCAAAGAGCCACCCGAGGGTGAGCGAGCGGACGATGAAGCACCACCAGCAGCAGACAGAGCGCTCGTTTCTTGGTTTCAATATTGGTCTTAAACATCAGTTGTTGACCTGGCTTACGCTGAGATCGGAAAAAGGATAAAACGCTTGCACACGCTCGTGCTCTGTGGAAACAAAAAGGACGGTTAAAAGTGGGGAAAAACATTGTGAAGTGCTTGTGAAACTTATTATAAATGTCAGTTTCTGACTCAAAAAAAAAAAAATTTTAAACGGTACTCTACAGATGGTGCTGAATTAAGAAGAGTGAGAAAAACAGGGAGTAGATAGCGTCTCCAAGCACCTCCGCCATGCATGAAGACATTCCCTGCGGCCTTATTTAAAAAAAATAATAATAATAATTCAAACTAATTTCTAGCAGTTTGGTGTATTAGTTTATGTTTTAAAATGTCTTCTAAATGTGAATGTTTGACAGGAAGTTCTGGGAGGAAGTTTGTTTTGCAGGTACAAACAGAGGTTTGATTTTTATGGTGCTACCCTGGAGAAATTACAGATTTGCAAATTATTGTAGAAAAGGGCCAGAGAGGTTTACTGAATCATGCAGACCACAGTGGAGTGGTTGTGACGCGAGGATGTGTGCGATTCACTGTCAGTGGCCTCTACCAGAAAACTGCCTCTTGATTCTAGGAAGACTTTGGGCTATAAGATTTGACAAGGCAATGTTCCTGCGTCACGCAGGCTTCCACAGCAGCGTGTTGTACTGCAAGTGTGTGCGCTTGAAAACTGACAGGATGCTCTACTTCCTTGGTGGTCTGAAAATGTCAAGAAAAAAATGTGTATCTGCACATCTGAACATTGCACAGAACTTAGTGTCTTTAATCTCTGAAAAAAAAAAGTAGTCTGCATTACCGCAGGAGAGAATTACAAACATTCAGTCCTTCGTTATTATGAGGGAAAATAAAGATAGCTAGACATCGAGAGCATCTATTTGGATAGTTTTACCCTGATTTTAACTGTTTCAACTGTAAAAGTCTATTATGACTCAACTTTGTTAAGGATTATGTCAGCCTGCTTTATTTACTGCCACATCCCTTGTTTAACCGTAACTGCTCTTAATTACCCCCGTTTTCTTTTGATATTAGCAGTATCTGCTGTATCAAGGCAAGGTGTGCACCGATTACAGTGGAGTTATTTTTACTGTTATGCCTGTAATACTTAAAAGTTCATCAAAAACAGCTGACAAATGATGACTGAAAGCAAAGTTCTTCGTGAAAATTAAGCATTTTAAAGAGAGGATTATGGATAAAGTCTTTTCCCATAAATAGCAGGACTGATCACGTCAAGCCACCAGCAACCATGATCTCTCTTTCTGCACAACATACTTGAAAGCACAATAGGAAGCTTGTTCACACTTAATACTCAATTAGCGTGAACAAGCTATTGAAAAACTACACAAAATGTCCATGTTTCTACATGACTGCATTTTCTTTCATAACAGACTTCCTGCTTGCTCTACCACACGAGTGAATCGGGTGCAGTTTTAAACACACAGATTTACATTCTTCACGTACAGGAGCAAGTAAAGTCATTTGTATTTGTAGAATCGAGACTACAGTATATGGCATTGGTAATTTGGCACATAGAAACTATCTGAGACATTTTTTATGAGGGCCCCTTTAAACAGCCTTACTTTGTTTTTCCTGCTGTTCTTTGGGACAGCAATGAATGTTATTCAGCTTCAGCTCCAACTGCAGATTAATTTCCAAAGATTAATGTAAAGTTATTTCCTGCGCTCCCACAGTTCAGTTTTGTTAGGAAATATCTCTAATACTTACCTTTGTGATTCTATATAATACTGTGATAGTGGTCTATATAAGTTATTTAGGAAACAAATCTGAAATAGCTTCATAACTGAGCACTGCAGGCAGGAAATAGGAAATCAGAATTACAAAGGAAACCAAACCAGGTTCAAAAATTGTTTTTGTTTCCTGAGAAAATACCACCCAAACAAGCTAATTTGTTCGGTGCTATAATGGTTTTCATTGCACATTAGCTCAATGGTGTATGACTGTAATCAGAGATTTTCTTGTCCACACCTACACCACAGACAGACAAAGTTAATGGAGTGGGGGGTATGAGGCGTTTGAAAACGCTATTCAACAGTATGTAATTTACTGTAAGTACAAGCTCAGGAATCAATATGCAGGACAACTATTTATATTCACTGTACTATAAATAAAGTGAGCGCAAGTCAGTGCTGTAGTGATGGAAGTTCCATTTTGACCAACATCTGTCTCATCTTGGAGGGTCACATGTTGCCGTATCCTGACATGAATAACACTGTGTGGGTTGTTTGTTGTTTTGGAAACATTTAAGCATTTATGACAAATAGTAAATGTTCGCAAAAAGAGCCTAATTTTGTTTTGGTTTTTTTTCTGGGGGCCTCCAAAAGAACCCTGGAGATCCCAGAGCCGAGTCACTCTGCTTGCTGCTGGAAGTTCTTGACAGCAGATGGAGCCACAGAGAGGGAGCTATTATTTTATGTGGCACAAAATCCCCATCTTATTTGTAAGAAAAAGTAATAAAAAAAAGAAAAAAAAAGAAAAGAAAAAGAAATAAAGTTAAGAACGCCATACAAGTTACGAGCAGTCAAACGCGGAGCGTGCACTTAAAGGGAGTGAGTCGGTGCGGGAAAACAATAGTCAAGAAGGTCCTGTGTGAAGTCAAGGCTATTTTTGGTGGGGCCCGCCTCGCCTGCTATTTCTGTCAGCAGGAGAGCGAAGGGGAGGGAGCAGGGCTTCGAGGGGGCCGGACTTACTTCTCTGTAACTTGCCTCCGATAAGTTCCTGTTTCGGCTCCTCAGTCAGTACAGGCTTCACTGACAATACCAGCGGACCTCTCCATCTCGCTTCCATCACGTTCCGTCAGCTTTTTGGCTCTTTTTACTTGTTCAACGTTTCAAAAACAGACTCCGATACAAGTTGGATTATCTTCAAGTGTGACTGGACTCTTTGAAGGGGCGGTTAGGTGTAAACGGGCTCCAGTTTACAAGGTAGGCAAGCGCTGGTGGTGACACGGTCCGAGCAGCTGAAAGTTTGATAAATGTTCTTAAATTTCGGGCTGTTTTGAGTCGGGCTTTCGACTCGTCGGGCAGGTGCAGTATGGCGTTAAGCTACGTGCGCAGGTGCACTCGCGAGCGCTTGGAAAAGTGTCACGCGCGCGCATCTTTGACGAAAACTTAAAAAAAAAAAATTTGGTACTTTTCTCGAGCTTTAATTTATTTCATTAGTCTTTTGTACATATATGTTACATAAAGTCACCATCAACTCCAACAGTCGTTTTAAAACATGATTTGCATTACAGCTCAAGTCATTATGAAGCAAGAAAGTGACTTTAAAGCAAAGTGCCGTTGACAAGCTGTAAATCACGTAAATAATGTCTGCCTTCCTAAACAGAGTAAGGAGTGCTTTGTTGAAACTGCCGGAGGTGTGTTAACCACAAACCTACGTTTCTTATCAGTCATTTCTTAAGATAAGATTCAAATATTATTTACTTTTGGCCCCAGTGAGGTTGAGCAGATGTCGGCCAGCATCACAGTTTAGCAGCAGCACCTCCGCAACCCAGTTTAAAGTGCAGGTGCACTGTTCGCGTACTTTTCTACGACTGGGATTATCGCGCGCGCGCGCGTGTGTGTGTGTGTGTGTGTGTGTGTGTGTGTGAGTGTGTGTGCGCGCGCGCGTGCTTGCGTGGTACAGCCCAGACCACCACACACTTTTCTCATCTTTTCTATCCACATGTGGGTCAAAATAGTGCACTAGACCTGTGGTTGATACATCACATGAGCAGCTCACATTGTGCCAAGTGCCAGCACATGGCAGTGGTGAAATCTATTAACACACACCTGCAAGAAACGTTGTCACCTCTCTCTTTAAGGCTGGTATTAAAACTGCTTTGTTTATTGTGACATTTTTAGGAAAGGTTCAGAGGTGAAAGCTGCCAGTTATCAACTGTGTTTGTTTTTTTGTTGTTGTTTTGTTCATTGTTGTTAGATATTGTGAATATGAGCTCCAGTTCAGTGATATACTTTTGTCTTTGTCCCCACAGATGGAATCGGCACCTCTGGGAACATCGTAAAGACTGACAGACAGGACAGCGTACTTCCCACAGTGGCAGGTTAGACCTTAAACCTCTGCTGAAAATGTTCAGAATGCAGTTCTGATTTAATAAGTAGTTGGGTTTTTTGGTAATATTTTACTTGAACCTCTTAAAGTTAGGCAAAAGCCATTAGCGCTGAAACGCTCTTGTGGAAAAAGATGCTGCTGCTCTCCAGGCAGTCCCTGCTCACGACTACATCTTGTTTTCTTTACATCATTTTCTTTTTAACATGTGCGCGCACACACACACACACACACACACACACACACACACACACACACACACACACACAGTGTATGCAATTTGGGTGACAGCAGTTTTTCCACAATGATCTAAGCTGCAGTAAAAGTAGAGAACAGGTGCTGGCCTAGTTGGAAAGACGCAGCCTCCTCGGCTGTGTTTTTCATGTGGGTTTAGAAGTTAGTTTTGCTGCAGGTCATGCAGAAGTTTAATTGAACATGCGTCACGCAGTCCTACAAAAATGTGTGAATGTAAATTTACCACATGAGCTATTTATTGTTTAGTAAACGTCCAATAGCATCCGGTTTTAGTTAGTTTCCTACTAAAACAAAAGACTTAGTTCTGTGTTCGAATTAATATTAGGAAATCACTGGTACCAGTGTATAGTACAGTAGAGGGATTCACTTCACTTTTTTATATTTTCACTTCCAGGATTGTGTAAGAGTCATCAGTAAGGATTCTGACGGTCATTCTTCTTGGCACAAAAGCTTCTCACATAAACATCTGGAGATATCAAAACATATTTCCTCCTAATTATGGCTGATTGCAACTGTTTCTTTCACAATGTGGTCATGGTTAGATAATGAAAATGTTCGCTCTGACTACTAGTGTGATGCAGGACGTGAACTTAGGTTAACCCTTTAGCACTCATTTCAAGATGCCACCATCTTTCCAGTAAAATAAGAGCTGGCTTGTTACTTTTCTTTGTAATCGTGTCAAATTTTCAACAATTTTCAGCAACCCTTCCTGTCATGTATTCATCTGTTGTGCCTCTCTTTAACAAAAAGCCTAGTTGATGCTTTTGTTCTTAAACCTGAGCTCAAAAAGTATTTGATCTGCTGCTCCAAGCATCAGAAACAAGTGACCCAGGCTGGCACTTTTAGTCCTGCATTTTTAGTTTAGATTAGCATTCTCTGCTGTGAAGCATGCCTGTGTGATCACGCTGTGTAGGATTACAATGCATGACTTTCTGAATGAAAGCCGGCTCTCGCTGTGCCAGGCTCTGCTGACTGCATGCTAACCAAGGACCCACTATGGGCTTTGTGTGTCTGCGTGCATGTCTCTGGAAAAAAAACTAAACAAAAAAACCCCATTGAGGTCATGGCCGTAACTGCAGAGTCTGGTTACATGCGTGTTGTCCACACAGGGCAACTGGCACTGGCTCTCTATCCTTTGTCTTCCTCTCTCTAATTTCTCCATCTCAAACATGCACACCTCGCTTTAAATCATTTGGCCTGTGGAGTGCATTGCCCTTACGCCAGACGTCTGAAGTCGGAGATTGGTTAGCGATCTAAGGTGGCGGCGGTCTGCGCCAGATGTGCATAACATGTGAAACCACCATTTTAAAAGCCTCTGGAGCTCAAACAGCCCTTTAAACTACACAGAGTGCTATAATAGACCTGCAGGGTTACGTCCCACTTGTCCTGCTGTGTCTGTAATAGCCTTGAACCCTAATTTTCCACATACGTGAAACAGAAAACACGCAGAAGTGCTGTTCACTTAAAGAATAGCTTGTAATACTTGGCTCCTGTAGCAGTTACCAGAAGTGAGAGCATACAGGTATAATGATGATTTCGGACAAGTTTCACAATGGCTTTCAAAAGCTATGTCTATTAATAAAAAGACCTTCACCTCATATTCAACTTCTTCCTCCAGCAGCCTTTTCCTCTACACGCCCTAGAAATGAAAAAAGACACAACTCTTAATCCTGCAAACAGAGATATTTCAAAATAGTTCAGTTTTTTTTTTTTTTTTTTTGATTGACCATAGTAATGTTATTTTTCAATAATTGTTTTCCTAATAAGGAGTGAAAAAACTGCCTTTTTCAGGGCTGTCAGTGAAATCAACAAAAATTCCTTACAAATTTCTTCATAGAAAATACGACTTATTGCAGTTTGCATGTGTACTCTGCTCATTTTCTCAGGCCTTTACTCTATGGATCGCTAAATGGAGTAACTCCAACAGTCATGCAGTGGAGATCATATACCCTAGTTGTGGTTTCCAGCCACATTGGTCAGCTGATCTGGGCACTGTGTTTCTTTTAGTTACCGGTTCCTGTTGAATTAAAGACTCAACTGGAGGAAAGTTGATAAGCAACAATCAATCAATCATTACCTCTAATGCTGGTAATCGTTCTCACTTATTTGTATATCTAAGTAACATGATTCCTATTGAAACATTTAATCAGCAGGTTTAGCCTTTTATTGAGTTGATATATCACTAGAAGACTGTAATGTTGCAGCTGCTAGACTGTTTATTTAGAGCTTAATTGTGCTCCTTCTTGAATTTCCAGTTTGCGCTTTGGCACCCAAATAGCATTAGGTCATTCATCCTCTGCAGCTGCAAATTCAAAAACGTACTGACATTTTGTACTAATGAACAACATATACATTAAGGTGATTTTGAACTCTAATACCCGTTAAAGCCAAATGGGAGTGCAGACACAAGCTGTTCAGTAGTCGAGGTAGTAATGGTTGTAACAGTAGACGGCGTTGGAGGTTTGGCGGCTATTTTTGACCTGCTGAACAAATGGCTCAATTGTCCTGCCTCGAGGTGCATGAAATCACTTGATATGTCAGGGGTAATGTTATATAATACTCTCCAAGGGGGGCTCACAGGACTGTGTTTGTGTGTGGTGCAGTTGTCTACTTTTTATTTCATTTTAGAGCATGTGTGTGTGAGTTTTTCTGTGTCTGTGTGACAGGCTGCACATATTTAAAGTATTTTCTTGCAAGGGGACTGAGAGACTGTAAGAGTGTGCGCTGTGGCTTGAGGTAAGAGTGTCCTCAACATTTTATTACTGTGTCAAATCAATTCACGTTGCATTAACCTTTGAGCTAAAATCTTTTTGCTGTGGTCTGCTGGGTAACTGGTCTCTTATTGGCCTCCAGCCTCACTCTGATACCTCCCCCTCCCATTTCTCTCTCACTTCCATGCACACAGCCGTGTACATGCCGAGGCACGTAATTCGGATTAAATTTACTGAAGTCAATGGAATTCTTTCTTCTAAGGATTTATTCCTGTGGCATTCAGGGTATAAAAAATCCCAAAACACTCAATTTTCACCTCAGTTACAGCAACTGTGCCAGACGAGAAGCCCTGGATCTAAATCTGTTTCTGAGTTCCAAACTTTAAGGAAGCTGGGGTTGTTCCCGTTTCCCACTATTGGTGAGAAACAAATACACGGAAAGTAAGATGTCCTAGCTTTAATTAGTATCCTCTTCTTTTTTTGTTTTATCTTTCCCTCACCACCAGTGGCTGGGTTTTGCTGGAGATTTCTTCCTGGTAAAAGGGAGTTTTTTCTTCCCACTGTTGCCTAGTGATTGTTTCTAGGGGATCATCTGATTGTTGGTGTTTTCTCCAGCTACTGTAGGCTCTTCACCTTGCAGTATAAAGCACCTTGAGGTGACTGTTGTTATGATTTGGTTCTATATACATGAACTTTCATTGAAATAAACTTGAATCAAAGGACACATTTTACTATTTGTGTACCATTTATTTTAAAGCTAATTTGCTTTTGTTTATACAATTAATACTTAAGTCACCGATCCTAAAATATTCAGGATCAGTGACCTTGTCTTTGTTCTTTTTTCTTTGAAATGGTTAGTTGCTGACTAAACATTACATATGTAGAAATAAAAATCAAGAACATTCATGTAACAGCCCTGAACAAAAAATAAATTTAGATGTTAACTGAAGCATTAAAGTTCTTTGGAGATACAGGTCCATCATTAATGCTAATCATCTTGCTCATAGATAATAAGTTAGCCTGATTCCTGATACTGTAGAAGCCACATATCAGTCACAAGTTCTCCGAACCAGATGATACCGTCTGACCTAAACAGCTCAACCAAGTCATGATTCAGCTCACACCGACTGATGCTGACCTCGGATCAGATGGCTTGTTGTAGGTGCGGATGTAATAGGATCTGACCGGACTCCTGACTTTACATGTGACTCCGTGTGTGTGTGTCTTGATTATCTTCAGTGACGTTTACAGCTTCAGGCTGATTTCTTTGTAATTGAATAGGAGAACCACACGATACAGGTTTATACAATGCCCATCTGTGGTCAGTGTGTCTGTCTGGGTGTGTGTTTCAGTATATGTAAGACAAGTTTCTGTGAGACACCCCTTTTCACCGAGGATGATGAAAACAAATAGTACTGCAACAGAGGTGAGAAGAGCTGCTGTGTAGTTTGAAATCTCCAGTAAACTAAAACCCGACACGTACAGGAGTTTTGGGCCCGAGGCAGATGCCTATTTTTAGAGAGTAAAACATTCCGATATTGAAGGGTAAAGTGAGGTTGTGCTGGAATTGCATTGAAAGGGGAAAACAATGGTGTTGCTGTTTGTTGACTTTCCAGAAATGTATTTCCCGAACTAGTTAGCAACTTAGGGCAAAGATGCCACTTGACTCCATACCACCATTTGCTCAGCTGTGATGCTTGCAGCTACATGTCCTGCAGGAAGTGCTGAGAACCAGAGCTGCTCTGTGGCAAAAAGTATGGGATGGCTTTCTGCATTATGTAGTGACGTTTTTATATTGCACACCATAGACGTTACTGCTGTTATGTCTGTCATACCATCCAACAGCCAAAGAGGCAGGCGTCACATGTTACCAATCTCACAAAAATGAGTACAAAATCATCTACAAGTATTAGCTTTTTTTTCTTTTCTTTTTTTTTTTCTTTTTTTTGTCCAATGGGCAGAACAAACATCTGTTTATTTAAAGAAATCAAATGAAACCAGAAAATTTCCACATTTGATCTACTAAAAT